AGAGCAAGAAAGTTACTTACAATTTATGTTGAGGTACTCGGCCAGGAGGTCAGCGAGGTCCTTGGCGTAGCCTTCGTATCGGTCGTTACCGCTGTAGTTACCTTCCTTCTTTAACATCATGAACGGCTTCTCCTGCGTCACAGAAAACGGTCACTCAACATCATATCATCACAGAAAATGGGTCCATGCCTGCATATTTTCCACGGGTGTAACGTAGCTAAATTTCATTATCGGAGAAAAGAGGCTATGTCAACCACTCCGTTTCCACCATAGAGACATTATTCTATAACTAAAATTTGACGCTGGACTTACCAAGATTGTAGTGACGACGTAGGACTTGTTAGCGGGTATCCTGTCAGACGGCAGACGGACGGGTTTGGAGGGCACCGTTTCAAAGCCCCGAACGTCACTCCAAGTTCCGATCTGCAAAAATAAGAGCAAATCTGAGTGAATGATTGACAGGATGTGATCGACACAAATTACTGAGCGCAGACAATTGTTGTGTGGAATGTTAGTGGACGGGATAACACTGACGAGGAGAAGGAGAAGGAAAGATAAAAGGGAGAGAACGAGAGAAGAGAAAACAGTGATTTAGAGCTTTTTTTAATAATTGAGATGAAATATAGGGACAGTGTAGCTGGGGAGACGGTGGAGGAACATAAGGAATGAGGGATTGGAAGTGAAATAGAAGAGAAGGGGAGTGAGGGGAAGGTGATACCAAGAATGTGAGAAGGCAACTAGAAGTCTCGAAATGGAAATTCCTAGAAATAATGAGAGGAGAGCTAGAATGCCAGACGTAATGGAATGGGTATCAGTAGGAACCATGAGGAGGATTTCGAACCCGTACACTTGGTATTCCCTAGCACACGCCTTAGACCACTACACCACAACATGATCAGAAAGCAATGCACTCTGGGATTTACCTGAATGCTCTTGGTGGGGCTGAGGCTTCCACTGAAGCCCGATCAGGGCTTCACGCTGCTACCACCCACCCTTCCTCCTCCCCGCCCATGCACTTTGACTGTGGTCCAGGAGCTCTGCCTCCAACGCTTGTCTTCAAAGGCACAGGCCTCAGGACCCCCTAGAAGAGAACCCCAGATTGCATTGCTTTTGAGCATGTCGTGGTGTAGTGGCGTAAGGTGTGTGCCTGGGTGTACCAAGTGTGTGTGCGGGTTCGAATCCTCCTCATGGCTCCAATTGAATTTCCCATTGATGCATCACGCTAAAGTGATGTATACTTAATGGGAGGGTGGTAGGAGGCTCATGTTTGTTTGGGCCTCCTGGCCAAAATAATAATGAGAGAGAGAGAGAATAAAGAGAAGAATGTTTGAGGGACTGTTAAGGATTAAGCCTCAAGGTGTTCATTATCATTGCCTGAGCATCACCAGCTGAATAGCTAGGACAATATTTAGGAAATTCTGTATTTATTTATTTTTTTTTTTTGCTCGACCTATTTACGAGTTGATAGCCACGAGTCCAGGACGTGTTTGTGCATACGGTATATACTTATGTCTTGAAGAGTTTCAGTGAATATGCCAGGCGTTTGTGTGTTGGCGTTTGTGCCAATTGTAGCCAGCGAGCACTTGTTAACTTTATTCTTTAGTAATTTTATATGTATCTTTTTTCTACTTTGAAAAGCGATTTAGATTTATTAACTTTATTTGTAAGTAATTTTTTTAAATTACCTTACTAAATTACTAATTTAGTTATAAAATATACATATAGAATAATATTAGAAGGATTAGAAGAATATCTTAAAGCTAACAATCAAACTCATTATACTCTCAAGTTATTGGTATCTGTACTTATATTGGTATGTGTTTTATGTCTACGTTTGGGGCAGAGGTGCAGATGTGTCACCTTCACCACCAACACCGTGCATGAACGACCCCAGCCTCCTGAAGCCGAGTCTGGGCCCCACGAGCCCCAGGAGGTGGACGGTCCGGCCCCGCACCTACGGGTTTCACACAGAGTATATAATATATATATATATATATATATATATATATTATATATATATATATATATTATATATATATATATATATATATATATATATATATATTTAGTATATTTGGTAGCAGTCTTTTCCTGTAGACATATAATATTAAATATGACCGAAAAAGTAAGATTATAATTCTAACACGAATTTTCTCAATCTTTCGTACATTTCTTTTTCACTGTTATCTTGAGGTTATCTTGAGATGATTTCGGGGCTTTTAGTGTCCCCGCGGCCTGTCCTCGACCAGGCCTCCACCCCCAAGAAGCAGCCCGTGACAGCTGACTAACACCCAGGTACCTATTTTACTGCTAGGTAACAGGGGCATAGGGTTGAAAGAACTCTGCCCATTGTTTCTCGCCGGCGCCTGGGATCGAACCCAGGACCACAGGATCACAAGTCCCGCGTGCTGTCCGCTCGGCCGACCGGCTCCCTGTTGGAGGTAATTCAAAAATCAATTCTCCAAAATTCATTTTTATTTCTAGACTAGAAATAAAAATGAATTTTGGAGAATTGATTTTTGAAATTACCTCCAACAGTGAAAAGAAATGTACGAAAGATGGAGAAAATTCGTGTTAGAATTATTAATCTTACTTTTTCGGTCATATTTAATATATATATATACATATATATAACTGAAAACTCACACCCCAGAAGTGACTCGAACCCATACTCCCACAACTGGTATGTACAGGGACGCCTTAATCCGCTTGACCATCACGACCGGACATAAGGAAGTGATAGCCGAGGCTATTTGAACCACTTCCCCGCCGGCACTCGGATGGTAATCTTGGGCATAGCATTTTATCAAATCACCTCATTCTTTGGGGCACACGTGAGGAACACAAATGCAAACAAGCCTGAATGGTCCCCAGGACTATATACAACTGAAAACTCACACCCCAGAAGTGACTCGAACCCATACTCCCACAACTGGTATGTACAGGGACGCCTTAATCCGCTTGACCATCACGACCGGACATAAGGAAGTGATAGCCGAGGCTATTTGAACCACTTCCCCGCCGGCACTCGGATGGTAATCTTGGGCATAGCATTTTATCAAATCACCTCATTCTTTGGGGCACACGTGAGGAACACAAATGCAAACAAGCCTGAATGGTCCCCAGGACTATATACAACTGAAAACTCACACCCCAGAAGTGACTCGAACCCATACTCCCACAACTGGTATGTACAGGGACGCCTTAATCCGCTTGACCATCACGACCGGACATAAGGAAGTGATAGCCGAGGCTATTTGAACCACTTCCCCGCCGGCACTCGGATGGTAATCTTGGGCATAGCATTTTATCAAATCACCTCATTCTTTGGGGCACACGTGAGGAACACAAATGCAAACAAGCCTGAATGGTCCCCAGGACTATATACAACTGAAAACTCACACCCCAGAAGTGACTCGAACCCATACTCCCCAACTGGTATGTACAGGGACGCCTTAATCCGCTTGACCATCACGACCGGACATAAGGAAGTGATAGCTTATGTCCGGTCGTGATGGTCAAGCGGATTAAGGCGTCCCTGTACATACCAGTTGTGGGAGTATGGGTTCGAGTCACTTCTGGGGTGTGAGTTTTCAGTTGTATATAGTCCTGGGGACCATTCAGGCTTGTTTGCATTTGTGTTCCTCACGTGTGCCCCAAAGAATGAGGTGATTTGATAAAATGCTATGCCCAAGATTACCATCCGAGTGCCGGCGGGGAAGTGGTTCAAATAGCCTCGGCTATCACTTCCTTATGTCCGGTCGTGATGGTCAAGCGGATTAAGGCGTCCTGTACATACCAGTTGTGGGAGTATGGGTTCGAGTCACTTCTGGGGTGTGAGTTTTCAGTTGTATATAGTCCTGGGGACCATTCAGGCTTGTTTGCATTTGTGTTCCTCACGTGTGCCCCAAAGAATGAGGTGATTTGATAAAATGCTATGCCCAAGATTACCATCCGAGTGCCGGCGGGGAAGTGGTTCAAATAGCCTCGGCTATCACTTCCTTATGTCCGGTCGTGATGGTCAAGCGGATTAAGGCGTCCCTGTACATACCAGTTGTGGGAGTATGGGTTCGAGTCACTTCTGGGGTGTGAGTTTTCAGTTGTATATAGTCCTGGGGACCATTCAGGCTTGTTTGCATTTGTGTTCCTCACGTGTGCCCCAAAGAATGAGGTGATTTGATAAAATGCTATGCCCAAGATTACCATCCGAGTGCCGGCGGGGAAGTGGTTCAAATAGCCTCGGCTATCACTTCCTTATGTCCGGTCGTGATGGTCAAGCGGATTAAGGCGTCCCTGTACATACCAGTTGTGGGAGTATGGGTTCGAGTCACTTCTGGGGTGTGAGTTTTCAGTTGTATATATCCTGGGGACCATTCAGGCTTGTTTGCATACATATATATATATATATATATATATATATATATATATATATATATTATATATATATATATATATATTATATATATATATATATTATATATTATATATAAATATATATATATATATATATATATATATATATAATATATATATATATATATATATATGTATATATATATGTATATATATGTATTATATATGTATATATATATATATATATATATATATATTATATATATATATATATATATATAATATAATATTAATTTATGTAAATTATCCATACCTAGAATCCCATTAATATAAGCTTAATACATATTTATATCTTTCATTTATACTTTGGGATAGGAATGCACATTTATAACTGCTATTGACCTGTAATTTCTGCCAGTGCTCTTCAAATAAACAGAGCACATTTAAGCCACCGTTTCTATCACACCCAAGCCTATATATATATATCTATATATATATATTTTATATATATATAGGTGTGTGTGTGTGTGTGTGTGCTTAAATTATGAATATTAACACATGAAGGAAAATGTGACGTGTGTGTCAGACCACGAAGGAAGAATTGAAACAGGATTTCCTTAAGTACTTTCGTATTTAATAATACATCTCCTTCTGAAGATGTATTTGAAGATGTATTATTAAATACTCAAGTACTTTAGGAAATTCCTGTTTCAATTCTTCCTTCGAGGTCAATTCATGATTCGTCACAGCATGAAAGGTGTTAACTTTTTGCACTAAGTTATAATGCTTTCTTCCAGCTAAATATTCCTAAACCCTAACAAAGTTCAAAGTCAGACACAATATTCAAAAGTATAATAAACATAATCAGGAGTGCATATATTCTCGCGAGTTCTCGAGATGTTTGCTAATGAAACATATGGAACAATATCTTACAAAAGTCTAAATTATTGTGTGTGTTCATTAAATGGTTGATATGCATCGATGAAACAGCTCATGGCTTCGAGATTTATATAATGGCACTTAAGCGTTGAGGATCAGTGCTGTAACTAACTGATGCGCCTTCGAGGGAT